TTTTTTTTTTTTTTTAATAAATTAGAACATCGTGTATAAATTTAAAATAATAAATTTAATTTGAAATAAATATTTATGATTTATGTCATTGTGAATATAAAAATAATTGAAGAATAAAATTGAATAAAATTAATCAAGATCATTTATCATAAATTACCTGCTTTACATATGATATAATTGAAGTCATTTTCATAATTCATCAGTTTAGGTTTACAATATTGAAAGTGGCTTTGTGTGTACCTATGTATGAATATATGATTTAGGTCACGCTCATAATCTCTCTCATAGGCAGATTTAAGCTAATGATAATATTTCATGAACCAAAAAGGGAAACATATCTATACATGTACCTATATATATAAAATTGGATAAAAATGAGGGACTAACGAAAATAAAAAAAAATAAAAATATATATATATATATATAAAATAAAATGAAGAAATATATTTTTTTAAGAGAAATGGACTCCTTGGCGAATAGAATCATTGAATATCAATATATAAATTTTAATGAGCATCCATTAGCTAATTTATAAGGGTGAACTTCGTTGCTCGTTATTGCTCTCTTCCTCACTCTCTATCGATGAAATCGATTTTCGTAAGTAAATACATACATATATATATATATGTATATACATGTGCTAGTATACAGGTATATGTATTACGTATTCATGTGTTGTTGAGTACTTCCGATCACGTTTGAAACGGACGAAAAGGTCGATCGTGAGATTTGCTGCTACAGTTCGTGAATGAAATATCGTATCGAGTCTCGAAATAAGAAAGAAAAAAAAAAAAAACGAAAAAAGAAGAAGAAAATAAGAAAAGAAAAGAATAGTTGAATGAAACAAAGTTTTCAAAAAGAATAAAAATAGTTGTTAAAAAAAGAGAAAGAAGTAAAGGAAGAAGGGTCGAATGTATTAAAGTCGATTTAAGAGCAAAAGCACTTAGTAAATGAAGGGCGTTGCAGTGTGCAAAAAGTCGAGATGCTTGGCTTATCTATTTCGAAGCATGCTAACTTAAGAGGATGATGATAACCAAGAGAAACAAGACGACGAGCTTTGATATTATCGATCCTGATAAAGAAAACCCGTACAGTCTATCCTAAAAGTATTACTTTATCACTTCAAGTATGGCTAATACAATTATTTATGTCCAAATAATTATAATTGAAATTAAAATAGAAACGAGATTCTACAATTTATGAGTATAGCAACTATGGGGTTATTTCTTTAGTTATTTTCTTTTTTTTTTCGTATATTCTCTTTGTAATTATATTTAATAAATATTCATATTTTTTTGTTTTTTAATTGGTAATACTTAGAAGATTATTTAATTAATTTAATTTTAATTGCATTAACATAATTTTATTGATATGTCTTTGACGTTACAAATTTTTCATATTCTTTGAATATTGAAATAATATCAATATTAGAAATGTATTAAATTCAGAATAATATATTTTTCTGATCTAACTGTACATGTGTATGTCTCCAGAGACTTTTCTTTTTCTTGATATTTCCTATCTGACAAGTAACACGCTTCGATTCACACGAGGCCGATACTTTCCAAGCTTTTTCAAATGTATTTTCTCGATGGGTGAGAATGTATGTTCGCGTATCCACTATTATTATATTTGCTGGCTGGTACCATTCGCGGTGTTGGCATGGTAACAGCATTTTGTTTTTTTTTATATCGTCTCTTTCTCTTTCAAAATTAATTCCAATTCCTTTTATCGTTCAAATCGCAATTACCTTAAAAAAAAAAAAAAAAAAAAAATAAACAAGAGAGAAAAATTTGATCGTATAGGTCCATTTGTTCGATTCAGCATTATTCACATTTTTCGTTTCTTAAATTATTCAAATGGAAATTTAATCAAAGACTAGCAATTCTTTGTACTGTTTCATTTTCACAACATCTCTGATACGGTCCATTTTGCACATAAATTCGTTAATCATTTTTCTCATATAAAAAGCGTCCTACATATTAAACATTAATTATTGAAATTTCATTGATTTTTAAATACGATATCTTTTTACAAAATTTTATTTTTAATATATAGACAAATAATAATAACTATTTTCAATTAATAATCAATTTATAACAAATAAGAGCTACTCACGAATGACAAACATTTATTACACACTTTATGTTGGCTCAAATAACCTGATATAGGTATACCTTCATACACATTTGTATGTTGGTTTATATATTCAGGTGTAACCCTGATGATAGGCAAGCCATTATACACACGCGTATGTTGGTTCATATACCCCTACGATAGATATACCTTCATACATTTGTGTTTGTTGCGTAACATTCTATAATACAATAATCTGACAAAATGAAATACGTAAAGTATAGAAACATTTATTATAATTATTAGTATTATTATTATTATTTATTATTCATGTGATATTTAAATTCGAATGGTCAATGTATACTTTGAAAAGAGATTTTTAAATCAAACGTCAACTTTATTCCTTTTATAGTTACACATTTATACGACACCCTGTATGTTATGGAATCCATGAAAACGAACAATTCTCGATAAGAGAAGAATAACTGCTATCGTTTCGTGGGAGGAAGGGGGGGATATATATCGCTCTATCATTGCATAGAAAAAAGCTTTTATCGACCGATCGAACGAGAAAGACATAGAGTCTTCCTATACGAGATTTTCTATGGCAATTTCTGTTTTCACAGTGGTGAGAGAACGTGAAATATATCATGCGTCTTCGTTAAATTGCCGTGACGATAAAGATCTTCTTCTCCTTTATAAATCAGACCTTTTGATAACGTCACTTTATAATGACTATATTTATTTTATCGTACACGTAAAAACGATAATAGGAAAATTAATGATTATATAATTGACAATAATAACAAGTAATAATAATATAATGATTGGTTTTTAAAAAGATATTTGAAATAAATTAATTGTACGAATATTACAAATGATTTTTTTAAATATATTGAATTTATATTCAATGTGTGATAAATTTTGATAATTTAATGTCACTAACTAATGGCAAACTTTTATACAAATGCTTATAACAGATGTATGATGTGCCATTAAACCAAATACAACCCTGTATATGTTATGTAATATATAATAATACAATAATATACAAAGATGAAATATATATAACATAAAAATATTTATTATTACTTGTATTAATTGTTTTTGATATAGTTAAAAAAAAAAAGAAAAAGTAAAAGAATAAAATGATTATTAAAATATTTTTTTATTGTATTATATTTACATATAACTTACCTTCTTCTCCATTTTGGAAGCAGCATTTTCAACAATTTCTCCCGCCGTTTTGACGAGAGCTGATGCGGCTTGCTCTTTTCTCGACATGTGGCCACGGAAAGATGCTTGTATTTTTGTTGCTGCGTTGCAGAGCTCTAATAAACATTAAAAAAAAAAAAAAAAAGAAAAGAAATTAATAAATTATTTAATAAAATTTTAATTGATATTTCATTTGGTGGAAGAAGAGAAAAACGCATATTATTTTCAATTTATTCTAACAATCGATCGAGCAATTTGAATTTAATTTATAAATAAGTCCAATATATATATAAATGTATGTTTGTGATAATTCTCATCTTTTTAAACTAATCACACGAATGATCGATTACTTTTTGATGATAGAATTGATCCGAGATTAGAAATAGGAATAGGGAGAGCATCGTTTATTTCTTCGATTTTCGTGATTCGAATTCTCAAATACATTGCTATAACTATTACGTGTCCGACGATGGGTTGAATGCTTTTCTTCGATTGCGAATGTGCTGGGGAAAAAGCACGCTTTGAGAATTCTTGATCGCATCATTTAGAATCATGATATTAAAGCATCTCTCTATTCCGGTTTATCGATATTATCCTTTTAATAATAAATAGCTATTTTTAAAAACTGTATTATTATACAATTTTGTTACTTTACATTACGATATTTTTGTAATAAATCTTTATAAAAAAAATAAAAAAAACTAGTTAATGAATTAACTGTTTCTCGATCAATATATTATTGTCAGGGTTTCTTACTTTATCTCGACCCTTGGTTCGTTTGTACCTAATTTTTTGTGTCGCATATCTACGTTCTTATCTTTGTTTATTCTTCTACCTTTTTATCGCTCCTACCTTCAAACATTTTGAATTTTGAAATAATATCTGTCCACTCTTCGTAGTATTGAGATGCACACAAACATACACAAATTTAACCAGGAGCGATAATTACGAAGCAGATCATAAAGAGGAGACCGAGAATAGGGAAAAACTGTATAGCTATATTCCGTCTCATTCTCCCGCAAGCTCAATCCTATATGTTTGTCTCTTTTTCTCTCATTATTTAGTATAACAGCCGTTTCATAGCTCCGTTTCCTGGCCGACCGTGTTTCATTTTTTTTTTTTCAGATCACTCCTTATTCTAAAAAAGTTTTCACTTCAAAAATATAAAATTTACCTTTATCGTCGGAACGAAATTCCTGCTGCAATTGTTCCTTGGTCGGCTCGGATTCTGTTTCGTTGGTCCCCGTTTGTTGTTTCGAGGTATCAGTCTCTTTCATACTCTTTCTCGCGTGATGTCCGCGAAATGCTGCCTGTATCCTTGTAGCAGCTTCAATTTTATGCTTATCTGATACGTCCTCTTGTTCTTTTTCTTCTAATTGTTCTCTTTCTTCTTCTTTCTTATCTTCTGATTGATCTTCCTTCGAAGCCTCCTTCTTCGATTTTGTTTCTTTCGGACTGTTTTCTGTTTCGTTTACTTTTAGAATATCTAAACAAACCAATCATTTTAATTAATTAATATATATTCAACACATGAAATTAATTTTCATAAACGTTAAAATGAACGTTTATAATTAATAACTGTTCTAATAAAAAATATGACCTCGAATGAAATACAAAAAGAAATATATATATATATATATATATATTTTTTTTTTAAATGAAGATAATTAAAGAGAAAAATTATTTTAATAATAAAATTCAATAGAATAACTCTTCTCTGTCTTTTTTTTTTTTTTTTAATTATTTTTTTTCTCGATAAATAAAGGTAAAAAAAAAAAAATAAAAGTTTCATCAAAGTAAAGAATTGGAAGCAAAGGATTTAGTCGCAAATTCGAACTTCGTTAAAAGATAAATCTGATCGTTAATTACTCGTCTTAACGAGCTATAAAAAAAAAAAAAACTGCAACACAACAACAACGACAAAAAATGAGAGAGAGAGAGAGAGAGAAAGAGAATGAAGAAAGAAAGAAAGAAAGAAAGAAAGAAAAAAAAAAAAGGAAAAAATCAAGCCTGACACAAATTGCTTCCCGTTTCGTATTTTTCAATTCTCGAGTATCTTCTGCTGTGTCCTTTTATTTTGGTTTTTCTTTCTGGTTGCTACACAATATGAATTCTCGCGAAAAATCGTGGTCAAAATACATACGATTCGTAAGAGAAAGGGAAAAAAAGAAAGAACAAGATGAAAGGAATAATTACGAGCGTAAGCTTACACATTCATACACATAACACACACACACATACACACACAGTAATATACATAGACAAAAACACACGTACGCACTGACACGAATGTGTGTTTTAAGAGAGATATACACGTGTGTCACTTATAGTACGACAGCAATGATTCACGCTAGTCTTTCTCTTTGTATCGTTTACGTCCTTTCATTTTCTTTCTCTTTATCTCTCTCTCTCTCTCTCTCTCTCTTTTTCTCTTGAACATTTACAAGGAATTCGAAGTCTAGTTTCTCTTATTTTTCTTCTTCCTAGAGAAACTTACACCCCCGAGCCATTACTGTCGGTGATATCGAGTGACTATATCATTTCCCTCCACCCCTACCTCTTTTCTCCATCTTTTTTTCCTTCTTTTTTCTTTAAACGTGGACGCATTTATGCATAAGAGAAAAAGAGAGAAAAAGAGAAAGAAAGAGAGAGAGAGAGAGAAAAAGAAATAAAGGTATTTTTAGACTATATGAACAAGCTTTTAGTTCGCTCGACGATTCAACATTTCAACGTTAATAATTACGACTGTATTTGCTGTTGAACAACAGAAGACTGAAAGCGAAAAAGAAGATAAAATTATGTCAAAGGTGTGGTAGTGGTGTAGGTAGGTATTGGGTTTGGTTGTAAAAAGGTGAAAAGAATGAAAAGAACGACAGGTCGGTAGGATGGGAATGAGAGATAAATATAGAGAGAAAACGAGAAAAGCCAGTTACTTTGTTTTTTCAGCTCATTTGCGCCTACGAGTTCAAATATTTTGTTCTCTTGGAAAGACGAGAGGTAATCTCTCTTTCCATCTCTCTTCCTTCTACCCTTCTCTCTTTTTTTCTTCTTCTTCTTCTTCTTCTTCTTCTTCTTCTTTCCTCTATCTTTTTTTGTGTCAAGTGACTCGCCACCCCAATCTTTTGATTGCTTTCAACGAAACTATAGCAGTAGGGACCCAAAAAAACTCAACAGAATGAACTTGAACCAAAGAGAACTGCTACTGAAGAAAGAAAAACGATGAAGAGATATGAGTAAAACTTAACAATTTAAATGACGTTTGTGCTTTAAATCAGTTGAGTCTGTGATATTGTTCTTTCTTTTTGTTATTATTATAATTGTATGTATTGTTTATTGTTTTGTTTCAATAAAATAGTTTTATTTTGTAGTATTATGAAAACACTAAATGTGTGAGCTTTTATCTCTGATCAATAATTCAAATTGTAATAATAGAGAATTAATTAAATAGAAATTTTACAACTGTATTCAGGATTATCACTCGTGTCGGTAGTTTTGCCTATTGCCAAGGGACAATTTTAGTTCCCTTATTTGATATCTAGATGGCGTTTATCAAAGATTGATTATTGATTATCGATAGTAGTCTATTGACGATTTAAATGTTTTTAATTTATCTTCTACCACTTGAACAATATTTACAGAAGAAATCTTCGAAATTGAATTGGTAAAATAAATGAGAAGTTAATTGTAATCAATTTAACATAAATTTTCTTCTTATTTTTATTTCCTTTTTTTTTTTTTTTTTTGAAAGACGTTCTTATCTTTGTATTTATTCGTTAAATTCGAATTGCATAGGGGAAAATGGGTGTTATCTGTAAAATTAAAATCATCTCTTGTTTTAACGACGTTCACCTTCACCTTCCTCGCATTAAACTCATGGATTTTATAGGGTCGTGTCACGTCGAGATAGGGTGTGAACACAAACACATGCAAAAACGTATACACACACATAGAGACACGCACGAAGTCACAGTCAAGGATAAAATGGTTTAGACGTTAAAAGATTATCACGTTAGAAATTTCTTGCTCGTTAAAACGCAAAGCTTGCACCGATTATCGTTTATCTTTTGCACTCTCTGCTAAATATTCTACGAACAATAGGTTCTTTTTTTTTTTTTTATATATATATAAATTTTAAATTATATTTTTATACCCTAACTTTTATCTGTTCATTTGAATAGGCGCATTAACGTACCGAATAAACAACGATCATCGTGAGAAAATAAACCGCTTGAGATGAAAAGTTCGCGCAGGATGAATTCTCAAGTTTTTAATATTCGCCAGGGTGAATGCGAACACTTGGCATAGTTATAAGTTTCGAAAGCTTGCAGGAAAATGAAGAAACTTACTTGTTTTATCGTCTCTACCTGTCCATTAAGAGGAAGAAGCTAATTTTATGTTGTTTAAAATATATATATATATATATACATTTATAACAAAATTCTTTTGAAAAATGTGAACAAAAATGTTTTTAATAAAGCGTGTAAAATATTCTTATTTATTTTAATTTTATTTCCAAAATAAAACTCATTAAAGTAATATAACATCGTAACATTCTTTTCACGCTATCTTCAACCAATATTTCGTTTTTAATTAAAAATATAAAATTAAATAAAAAAATAAAAAACATTAAACAAATTACTTCTCAACTATCACTCTTGTTAGAAGGGTTGCCTGTTATAAAGGGGCACACAATACACGGGTAATTAAAATAATACAATTGTAATATAATATTCTTCTAACATTATCTTCAAACTTTGTTCATTTTAAATTAGAAAATAAAAAATATTGTAAACTTCATGACTATGATCACCCTTGTTAAGAGTGTTGCCTATCGCAAGGAGCAAGTATACGTATTATTGAATTATTCATTAGCTGATATTAATGGTATTAAGAAATTATTTTGAAAATGATCGATGTTAGCTTACACCGAAGTAAAGCTTTTTGACTTTGACGTGATTGAAACTCTATAATGCATAGGAAAAAACATAAAATGGTCGGCACGTAGTTATTTAGGTATTACGCAAAACTTTCCATCCTAATTTTCCCTCTTTGGAATTTCCTTTTGGCATAGTTTTCGTTATATACCAAGGAAACTTCTACTTCTTGTTCTCTTGGATCAATCAAGAATCCTTTATTACAGTGTAGAATTTACTTGTGTATTTAGAGCTCTTTCTCTCTTTCTCTCATCAGTTATCTTCTCGCGTGTTGTTACGTAACATCGAAACACCCTCTCCCCTTCCCCGAGATTTTTTGAAGTGATGAAGAAGAAGCACGCGTGCGCTTGCACATTTTTCATCCAATAAGAAAGCCTTGACCTTTCAACTTAACTACACTCTCAGTCTTGTCAAATTATAGTTGATATTTAGGTGCATAGATAAACTTTTGTGATATTTAAACGATAATCGATTAAAATAATATTTTTTATCGTCCTTAATCTAATTTCTTTCTTTTTGTTTTTTTTTTAATAAATTTGGGGTTTTTTTTTTTTACTTTTGACTCAAATTAATGTCTTTCTATCTTTTTAATATAAAAAAAAAAAAAAAATAAAGATTACATAATTCTTCTAATGAATTATTCCAAATGTTTTTTTATTTCTTTATATTTGTAATTTGCAATCAAGATACGATTCAATTAACTAAATTTTCAATTTTGCTAAACGAAACATTTCGAGTCACGTCCAATCGTAGGAAAGCTATTCCAGAGGTTTGGTGATGAAAGTGGTGACGAGAAGGGAAGAGGATTGAAACGGCAGAGATAGTACTTGATATTTCAATTGGTTCGGACGTTTGTGTTTCGTTGAAATGACATCGATTGAATTTTCCTACTTTTTTTTTTCGAAAAAAAAAAAAACAATTTTATTTTTTATACCTATCTCTATTTCAACGTTACTTAATAGAAATCGGTTAAAAAGAATAGAAAAGAAAAAGCCATTAATCGATTGAAACTTCTACCGCTCTCTCTAGTTTTTTAATATCACCTATTCTGCTTAACACATGTAAGTACATTATGTTGCCAGAAACAATGGAACTTTAAAAATTGTAAAGAAAAAAGTAACCGAAGGAAGAAAGTTTCCTTGTAATTGTTCCTACTCGAGTCACTCTGTAAGCGAATTTTTCTTGAAGGTGAAACGAAGAGACGAAAAGAAGTAAAGTAAGTCGACCCCCTTGATCCACTTTTACTTCTAACACCTTTTTCTTCTTCTTCTTCTTCTTCATTCTCTTTTTTCTCAAATGTGTTATAGAGTTACAACTTCCTCATTGTTATAATTTTTCTTTTTTTTTCTCTTCGACTATTATATTCGCACATATCAAAACTAGTGTTAGTTGAAACTCATTATTATTATTATTATTATTATTACTGTATTATACGATATATATCGAACGTGAAATTATTTTGTGTGAATATTGACAGGTGTGAATATTTAGATTTAAAAAAAAAAAAACATGAAGAAATAATACTATTTTCAAATTTTTATCGGAAAACGTA